AMKWRGRAMYWAWTMWAATACAAAGATACTACTTCATCTTGAGTGGTTTTCTTCTGTCTAATGATATTCTATATTTGTGAATTTTCTTTTTCAACTGTTTCTTTTTCGTTTTTAGACATGACAAAACGTAGATACAACAATTAAGTCTATATTTTCTTAAAGAAAATGTAACTGCCAAATGGATATTTTCTTTTTTGCACCGCAGTGTTTTTGTCACGACATTGAATAGCAATGTCAAACCATAGTTACTATGGTCAAACATTAAGGCAAAATCTATATCCTCCCCGGTTCCGTCTCCACAGTTTAATAACTTAATAAAGATGGACTACTATTTCTGTTTATATTGTATTAAAGAAAGGGTTTGATGATGYCCCTTACTGAACTATATATATACACGTCAATTGTTAGTAATTTTATTCCAATAATTTTGAATTAATTATCATATAATCAACTTAGATATTTTATACTTTTGAGTCACGAATCTCAACCATTTTAAATAAAATTTTATAAATTTAAAGGTATTAAACTGATAATCGTATGTCCTAAGAAAAGACGAAGTCAAAAAGTTGTACTAACTGTTACTAGTGTGCTACAGAGCATGATAGTTCGTGAGAATCATGAAAATGAACAGTATTCATCCGGTCAAGTGAAAAGCACAAAAGCGCATTGAGAAATTCGTCAAAATTCCTGCCATGCCTCTCATTATATGTATTTCTACATACTTGTGACTATTTCAATTTATACGGAAAAAAGCTTGTGTGCATTTTGGTGTATAGCGTCGGCCCCAAAGATGCTTGTTTAATGTGCTGCCAATGGCTTTAAAGTTTAGTCAACTGCACTGATTTAACTGCACAATTTACACCTATTTTGATTGCTATTAATACTTACCATTCACTTCAAAATCATCTGATGTCCATGGATCTTCTGTATTGAAACCTCTTATTGACAGAAACAGCCAAAACAYAAGACAACAAGAACCAGCCCTCATCATCTTCATAATACAATTGTTGGGAACTAATTTTTGCCCACAGTTTACCGCTAAAAGTTTACTAAAGACTTTGTTTATAGATTCATTTTTCTTTGCTGTTTGCAAACTCTTTTATGATACGTTGGCGAGAAAAAGGAAAAACTAGTAGCCATCGCGTAGTCTTCGAGTGAGTGCTTCGGAATCCTAACGCCTCTGTTTTTATGCAAATTCGGGCTGAAGGACACACATCAATGCTTGCAGTATACTTGTCTCAGAACAAAAGAAAACTTTGCCATCACAAGATATCTATACATTCCCGTTTTATACTAATATACGTTCTCAAGGCAGAATCAAATGTCAATGTGAATTGGCTTTTGAGCATTTGCAATTCAAAATAGGTATAAAGCGGAGGTAAAACGTTCTTCACGGATACTTCTGCAACCATGGTTTCTTGGCTTACACGTCTATTACGTAAAAAACGAAATCGATGTAAATGTATTCGTTGGATTTATATTTATAATTCTTAGGCTAAAAGCAATACATTTCYTGAAATACTAAAATTACATTTTCGCTTTTTTTATTTGTAACAGTTCATGTATATATCTTTTGCAGAGTTTAAAGATAAATTAAACTTTTTTTCTCGATGAAGATCAAATCCAAAGGTAATTACTATTCTTACTCTATATCACTTTTTTCAAAAATTTTCTTTCTTTTTTCTTCAGGATTGCATACACGCTTTTAGTTTGTTTTGTTTCATATATATAACAGAAAAAATACACTTTGCTATACTAAAGTGATCACAGCTAGTACTATAGCTACATCACCTAGCTACCAACGGTAACGTTAACTTCATTGGGCTTCTCGGCTTGTAAAATGTATCTAAGAAAGATCCAGTCGTTTAAAACAGTCAAATTGCCATATTAAAATAGAATAGGACGAAATTATGGACTTTCTAAGAAGCAAATTTAAAATTTGTGMAAAAACTAATAGTTCTAACAATGAATTTAATTTTTCTCTGAAAATTTCTATCCATGAATTTGCAAATAAGAGTTTAATTATAAAACTAAAAGTACTGTTCAGCTTTTGTGACTTTAACAAATATTTTTCTCATGTTTGGATCGATCTTTATTATATTTTATTCCTGTGTTGAGCGGTCATGGTCATTCGTCGTTCAATCATCAAGAAGCTTTCGTTTAGTAAAAAACCTCTTCAATCTGGCAATAGAATGTCATTTTCGATAATGCATGATCTTCGTTGTTATGAATGAAAAACGTTCATGTGATCAAGCACATYAATATAGAGAGGATATTGCATAGATGCACGGAGATATGGATTTTATCTTCGAGTGTTGGAAASAGATTTTTAAMACRAGAAGATCGTRCAGATTCGTATCTCCAAACGACCATGTAATATTCTGTTTATTATATATGATATAGTTATCATTTAAGACATGCTAATTCCATTGTTTAGTCAGCTCTATTTGTAGTAAGTGTTGTACTATTTTAGTTCTTTCACGCTAAGTTTGTAATTATATGTGAATAATGTTTTTAAACAAAACGTTCGGTTTTTGATTACAACTACAATGGCAAGAAAATCGAGCTGAACAATATTCCATCTATTTTTTACACCTAATTGAAAAAACGTAGTCGTGTTCGAAAAGGTCACATCATAGAAGCTAAGACCGAAAGGGATTTTGAGTACCACTAAATTGGGATTACATTTGCAAATACGGTGTTCAAACATGGTGCACGGTAAAGCAACTAGAGCTAGTAAGATTAACAGCATGCTAGTCTTTTATGCTGGAGAGCTGTTTGTATGAAATTAGCCAARTTGTTTGTCTTCCCAAGTACCTTTTCGGTCTTAGCTTCTATGATTAGACCTTTTTGGACCCGACAACGTTTCTTCAATTAGGTGTATATGCTTTGCGGTGAAAAAAACTAGCCATCAATCACATACACAGTGCAGTTTATATACCTAAGACGGTTGTCGGATAGAATTCGATTAGTAATAGTCCTCTGAAACTTTTACGTCATGTATCGCGTATACGCAATGCATTGTAGGATATGCTTGGGACAGAACATGGCGGATTTCTTTTGTTTTCTCTAAGAACTGAAGGGAGAGCCTATACGTAGCACTCAGTTGATGTAATATATTCATAAAGATATAATACAAAACACATAATACAATAGAACGAGAAACAATGGAATACAATACATTATATGAATACATTACATCAACTGCGTGCTACGTAGGTCATCCCAAGAACTGAACCCACGATGCATTGAAAGTCAAGTAGTGACGTAAAAGGTTTAGAGATCAATTGTAACGGAGATTGAATGAACGATAGGGGCCATAGGTTTTGCTATTTGATAAAAAATATGAACTGATTTATCCTGTAAGAGAGTTTCTGCTAAACTTATCTCCATTTAGTCTCCATTTTCCTGCAAAGTGAAATCAACAGGGGAAATTTTGCATGTCAAAACATAGTACCCATAGTCCCTTTCGGTCATGCGTTCGAAAATCGCGTTCGCCGCTCTCCCCGACAACATTTTATACAAGAAATAGGTGTATAAACGCTGACTGCCGGATAGTCATCCTGTTATCTTTATTTCCGAAGTTGCACTGGAAAAAATTGCGCTCCTTGAAGGTTGTAAACTGGTGGAAATATGAAGTAAATTCAATGTCTATGTAATAATTACAAAGGTTGTAAATATCCCGTAAGTGTCCAAAATCATGRAAATATCGTGAAAATTTGGATTTTAATTTACATTATATTTCTATTTTTTGTAAAAAGTGTGTAAGTGTGTTGTAAATATTATGTAAGTGTCCAATAAAATCATGTAAATATTACTTACATCATTTACATCGTTTTTACAGTCCAATTTACAGCGCGTTTTTTTTCCAGTGTCATTGTTGCTGTAAAGTAGTTAAGTAAAGGGATTGAGTAATCTTCGTCCTTCATCACTTGTCTCTTGACAACGAATCCAACAGCTCTTTGCGAATATATGTACTTCCCTAATACACCGAATGACGAGAGAGACGATGGAAAATATGACAGCTACAATAAAAAGAACTGGCAGTACAATTAAGATGATTAGCTGGACCCAGTCTAACGCGACTGCAATCGACTTCAGTGGGCCTTCCACTTCCTGACCAGTTGACAAGAAGCTTGCTTTGAAAGTGTTGATGGCAGCGATGACAATAAGGTTGAACAGTGACACAATTTCAACGATATTTGCAGCGACATCAYGAAACGGTTGTACAATAGTGTGATGAAGGAGTATAGAAACACAGCTCAATGTCAGCAGAATTTCCTTAAGAAAAGGATCACTTACAAACACGTAGATTAAAATGAGCAGAAGTCGTCGAGATACGAGAATACTTTCCCAGTAGACTGCWCCGAAGGCGCTCTCTTGGGGAATTCGAAATGGACCATACAAAACGTTAGTGACTGATGCTCTCCATTCAACTGGCTCTTGACATGGTCTCTTTGACGAACACATAAATAATATCAGCTTGTACACCAAGTATGGAAGAGGAAGAACACAGCAAAGGAGAAACTCCTTGACAGAGATAGTTCCTTTGTACAGCCAGTGGGAACCAAATGCTAGAGTCAGAATGAAAGGAAAAACCACTGCACCAACAAAAACCATGAGCAAGTACTGCCACCAYTGGTAACACACTACTTGTCCAGCGATGAACAGATGAGAATTCTGACCTAGTGAAGTGCAACGTAACAGCTGAAGAGATGTATTAGCAAATACTGAATATCCTAGCARCAGTGTCTCCAAAAYAGCGCCGAGGTAAGGAGCAATGTTCGGRGGTGGCTTGGACCTGCACTTGCGCAGTAGAAGKTGAMAAACGTAGGAGACAGCAATCATGAAWACCACACCAAGMACTTGACTGGCRAAGAGAAGCTGTTTKGTCACTGCAGTAAGACCAGGAAAAGGACAAAGAAAACCGTTYCTGGAAAACCGAAACTGAAAGTTGAAAATCCCCACCACAGGGTGCACRAGATTGGACTGGATGACCTTCTCGTATGAATTGGTGACAAGAAGAATGTTTACCACTTGATAAAAGTAAAACACCATCTTCAAGTACCCGCCGCCACCATGATTTTCAGCTTCATCTTGTTGGTTATCCTCTTTTCTTTGACATCTAAACCAGAGAATTTGTTTCTTGAACAGGCGTAAAAGACCTGGCTTGTGAATCAAGTACAACGCCATCAGCGTTRCCATGATAAYGGCCACTCCCCAAAGCCAGTTGTCATGACATTCGTCGTCATGACGACAAGACGGTGAGAGGAGAGTTTCAGAGTAGTTTTCCTTACAGTGACCACACAATGTTCCAGTTCTGTTACCTTGACAGCTGTTATAGTCAAGAAAGGCATTTTCTGAGGGTGCTTTGCAGTACCCAAGAGGGCAAAGAGTAAAGTTGAGCTCTGCAGGGTTTTCTTTGACATTGTATCCCCAAAAGTTCGGTTTGGCTGARATYTTGCTRTTGCATACAGCTCCGTACGGGCAAGATAGACACTGAAAACCGCTGACTTTACTCATTCCTCGGCCCAGACCATGTTGTAAACTGTATGCATCTATTGGGCAAGGCACACAGGTAAACTGTAATAGAGTAAAAGCCATCTCACAATCCTCGTATGTTTTACTCGGTACTTCAAGTATGTTAGTGTAATTGACAATATCGAGCCTACTTCCTCTAGAGCACGTGACCAGCGTCCGATTGTTGCTACCCAGCTTGATATAATTTCCTTTTGAAACGAAGACCAACTTTGTGGGCTCGTTGCCTTCTGGTAACATGGATTGGAATATTGAATTATGTATCATTAAAGGGCCCAAGCTTTGCGAATTTATAAATGATCCTAAACTTGATCTATAGGTAATATTAGCTTTAGTTGATTTTACTGTGATTGATGAGTGCTGTTGTAGAAGATTTGAGTTACGCAAGTTAAGGGTGGTAGAGTCTGATTTCATGAAGATATGGCCACCTTCGAGTTGAGCAAAGTTGTCAATAAACGAACAATTCTTGATGGTGTGTTTGCCTGTAGACATGGCCAACGCCCCTCCATTTACAGCAGTGTTATTCACAAATATTGAATTATTGATCAATATTGATACCCCATAATACCAAGTTCTGTGAGTACTGGGGGCTTTATCGATCATCGATAAGCATCCGTCATCTTTAACTTTATCACCTCCCACACTGAGTGGAGCAAAGAAAAGAGCCCCTCCATCTCCACGAAATGCTACATTGCCTATAAATCTAGTTGAGTCAATTGTGACCTGACCATTTGCAATATATAGAGAAACAGCCCCTGCACCTTGATGTCTGCTGTAGCATTCTTTAAAAGTCACATTATGGATAAAAATATTCGCACTACCCAGCGGAGTTCCTGGTAAAAAACCTAAACACCCACCACTGTCTGCAGTATTTGATTCGAATATTGAGTTCGTTATTGTGACGGAGTTTTCCGAAGATATAAATTCAAAAAGTAGTGCACCATACCCTCTATGAATGTAATCACGACCACTACAGTTCTTAACTATAACATTGTTAAGTTTAAAGGAAGAATTAGAATGAAGTTGATCTGCGAAGCAAAACGCTCCTCCTTCTCCGTAACTTTTATAGAAATAGGTCGAGTCGATTGTAAAATTTTCAAGGGATAAGTGCCCAATTCCACGAACATCCATGACACTACACTCTTGAGCTGAGATGATGTTCTTCAATGAGGTATTTTTAATTGTGATATCAATTAATGTGGACTCATAATTAGCAACTAATAGTCCACCCGACATAACATACATATCGTGTATCACACTATCGTGTATTTCTAGATTTCCGTTAGTTGGATGCAGTATCAACAATCCAGCACTAAGCCAAGCAGAATGGATTTGCGATACATGTATGTTCCTAAATATCAAATATGTATTTTTGATAGGCGAAGACGGAAATTCACTACGGATGTCAAAAACCCCTCCTGATAGCTGAGCAGTACTGTTGATAACTGTCGAGTTTGTCATTATAACGGCACTTACTTGAATACCAAGCGTAACTCGTGCTAGTCCACCATAGACACTCGCGAAATTGGATTCAAAGTGACAGTTTAAAATGTCGAAGAACATTTTATTTTTAGCGAATAACCAAAATACGCCGCCACTTCTACCGGTGTTGTTTACATAGAGAGAGTCCTTCAGCACAACTGTCGCTGTTCCACTCGTGTTAAGAAGCATGCACCCCCCGTCTCCCATTGTYCCATTGTTGTTTGCAAAGGTGGTGGTTTCCATGGATACATTACAGTCCTTAAGAGATTGAAGGTTCAGTACACCAGATTGCCTACCAACGCTGAATTGTTCAAATCGACTGTTTTTGATAATCAAGCTTTGGCTCCTTGCGCTGACGTTCACTGCTCGACACARACCTCCACAGCTTACAAAACGCGTGTTATTAAAAACCATGAAATGCTCTTTACTATTTWTAACAGTTATCAAGCTAATGGTATGTTGTTCGGCTTTGTTCTCTGAAAAGARTACATTATTGAAGCTAAGGGAAGTAAACGAATTTTTCAAGACRACGAAAATCAGTCCATTTTTTCCAAGAGTATTATATTTGAAGGTAACATTGTGAAGTTGGATATCACAATTCACCTGTATTGACCCAGGGGTGACGTCATGACCTGATGACGTCACGTGAATGGCCGATGCTGGCTGGCCTTCAGTACGCCATGAAGACACCACGTTGCTATTTCTTATATCAATGGATATATTGTTTTTTGGCAGCATATGTCCTGACGCATCCACTTTTATGCAAGAACTAGTGTCCATACACAGAGAGTTAGAAAATGACAGAGCAACAGACCTGGTGGACTGGGCAACGCTCACTCCTTGTGCAGCACCAGTAAAAATACACTCATTGATACTTAGGCTTGTATCCAGGCCCCTAACCGTTGTATTGACAAACTTCATGTTAGTCAGGCCGACAACTGTCTCAGTACCGTTAAATCTTAGTGACTTTTCAAATCTGACGTCGTGCCCTTCCTGGCATTTGACGTGTGCCATTGACTGGACACCAACAATTTCCAGACTCTTTTTGGTATGAATTCCTGGTAATTCTGACGATGATGACTTACAGGTATAKGGTGTTGTCTCTGATCCTGTTCCATCCACGTAGACACGAGTATTTTGTGCAGCCAGGGATACTCCYATGACGATTGTTTTGCAAGGTTTGGTGATTGAGCCACATGTCATGGAGTCGTTTCCTTTTCTTTGAGACACGTACATATTGAGAACTAAAGAAAAAATGAGAGTAAATGAAATGACGACAACAACAACAAGATTAGCATGTAGCTTTAGTGA